GGGGGTTGAAGAGGGGGAAGCGGGCCGGCCAGTAGGCCCCCGCAGCCGCGCAGCTGGACTGGACGGGACGTGAAAAATGCGCAAGTGAGGGAGAGCGGCGCACGCAAGATACGGGGCGCGGAGGGATATTTTTGGGTAAGTATGCAAATAACGCGCAACAAGCAAGAGTGAAATTTCGCAAGCGAGCGGCAGCAGCAGACGCTGGCGGCCGGTGGGAAGGGCACACGCTGTTCATTTTTCTTTCTGGCCTACGCGCGTGCTATACACGAATAGTGGAAACCTCGTAACACAAGTCTATTCCTTGCACGCAGAAAAACAAAAATACTGGTTTTACTTCCATTTTTAACTATCATGAATGCAAGTTGTTGTAATGGGGATAGTTTTTTTTTACAGTATTTCGCTGAAACCACTCGTTACAGTTCCGGCTGATTTACTACCGCCGCTAGGCGCGTCGCCACGGCCGCTGACGAGAGTTGGACCAAGTCCTCACGGAGTGACCCAGATAGCCAAACAAAGCGCTCTGCGGAGCGGAGCGCGTCTCTGCGGGCCCGGCCGACAGCGAGAGTGGCTGCTGGAGAGAAGGAACTTACCCCCCCTAGGAGCCCCCCCCCCCACCCCCTCCTGGCGCGGCGGCGGCGGGGCCTGGCGTGCGTTTATGTCACTTTTACGACCGCCACGCATCGGCCCGCGGAAGCGCGCGGCTCTACTCGGCCAGGCCAGCATCTTAATCGTCACGCATTAATTGCGAAGTCGGCGCAGCAATTTGGAGGCGGAGAGGACGAAGAAGAAGAAGGACGCCCGCGGAGGACTTGCCGGGCTGATTAGTGAATTCCCCCCTCCCTTTATTCTCCCCCCCCCCCCCCTCTCCATTCCCTCCGACGCGCCGCGTGCGCGAGCCGTTCAATCAATATTCACGGGCCATAGGCACGGGGCGGAGCGGATGTATTTCCAGCTCGCGTGCGCCTGCCCCTCGGTGCGCCTGCACTTGACCCCCGCGGCACGATAGATTGTTTATTATTTTATTGAGAGAAAGAGCACGAGAGAGGGTGGAGGGTGGAAGGGGGGAGGGGGTGTTGAACAGTCGGCAGCGCGTGTGGAAGCAAGGGCGCAGCGTTACCTCACCCTACCCCCCCCTCCTGTCTCATCAATCGTTTTCCCAGCGCTCGCGCCAGTGCACTCGAAAAAGGCCTGCCATTGTTACAACTGAAGTTGCTCGTCCAAATGATGGGAACCGGGTACCATGCAAGAGGTAAAGACGTGGCGTAGCAAAGCGCTGCTTTAACGCGTTAAATGAGCACATGGCTGTGCATTCTGAGGCATTCTGGGGGGTTAGAAAAAGCTTCAACGACACTACTGTGGTCGCGCCGCACTGACCGTGCTAATCAATTGCAACCACTTATTTGTTGGTATCTGAAGCCCTGACATCAAATCAGAGATTGAAGTATTTTTTGCTGTTTTTCAACAATATGGCGAGCATTTTAAATTTATATTCAACTACAAATGTGCCTTTACAGGGGAGCCTGTTCAGGTGTAAATCTCAGATTTTTCATTGAAACTCGGAAAATTTGAAGGTTTAGAAATCGGATGGCATTTGAAATTTTTCTTAAACCTCACTGTTTGTAGGGGTTTACTGAAGACCTCCACAGCGTTTTGTTACAAATATCCCTCTACCGCCTTAAAAATACAAAATAAAGCAAAACTCAAAAAATTTTGGTCCACAGGGCGCTACTTTGACCAATTACCCGTAAGACCACCACTTTCAATTTTTCAAAAAAACATTTTTTTAAAAACCATACCCCTACCCTATATAGGGGCTGAGGTTTAGGACCCAACCGGCCAGGAGGAAGCACCTCCGCAAGTTTGACAACTGTATACACGACAAATCCACCTCTGCGCAGCAGCAGGCCGTACCTTTAGAGATTCGAAAAAGAAAACCTGGCGCTTCCATCACTTCATCCGATCGGATAGGAAGCAGCCCCCCACCCCTCCAGCTCTGTCACGGCCGCCCGGTCCGTGTCGGGCGTAAGAATAAAGCGATATGATGAAAAAACAATATTGTGCTACGCGCAGTCCCAGCAGGTTTACCCCCGTCCCCTTCTTTTCCTTGGCGCTCCCACAGCCTCAGGATGTTGTTGGGGATGAGCCTCCTTGCCCTCCCCCCCCCCATCCAACCTTACGGGTCTCACCGTTTCGCCCTCGCAAGCGAATCCCTGGGGCGCGCTTTGGCCACGGCGCAGCCTGGTGGCCGGGGGCCACCCGCTAACGGAATAACTTTTTAAGTCCGGTTTCTCGCGTCGCCACGGCAGCCCCCTTCCTTCTTCCTCCACCTCACCTTATAGGGTGAGCGCGGAGGGGAGTAACACTAATGTCGCAAGGGCCTGCTCAACAACGGGGCTGGGCGCGTTGTGGGCCCACCGTGGTGTGGGTCAGCTCTGACCTTTCAGAAGAAAAACATAGAACTCTTCTTCCAATCGGGGAAAAAGTCAGTTTTAAGAAATTGGCTTAGATCAAAGTGACTAAAGTCTGCTGCAACAACGTAACGCCTCGACACAAAGGCAGACGAAAGAAGGGCGATAGCATTAGAAATGCCGTTGCAGGGTACACGATGATGCATTTCTCTGCTCGACCGCGGCGCGCCATAGGACGCGGCAATACGGATGCGCGACGCACTTTGGCGGGGTGGGTTGGGGTAGGGTTGGGAGGGCGCTGGTAAGGGTTGGTGGGTGGCGGGAGGCGCCATTGTGCCCCTGCAGACGCCCAAGTAGCCAGGGAGGGGGAGGGGGGGGGGGCACCGCATGACGGGACGTGGTTATCCCCAGCACCCAATCGGGCGTGGACCTTCGCCACTCCTCCACCCCAAACCTGCTTTTACCGTCTGCCCTCTCAAAAACAAAAACCCATTTGATTTCTTTTTCAAGGGAAAAACAAAGGTAAGACTAAATAATGCTCTCCTAGGGGAATTAAATTTTCATCGATTTGCAAAGGAAAGTGTCTTAAAGCTTTAACAATTTAGCATCTCTGCGCAGTTTTGATGCCTTTGTAGGTACGGGAGCTTATTTTCAATGCTTTGTACAAGCATTAAATCCCTTTCGGTCCCACATTTGTTTTCCCAAAGTGGCCACTTTCGGAATGAAATTAAATTATATAATCGTATCCGGCGTATATTACTTACCAAACTGCTTTCGTCAGGTGAAGCGAGGCTGAGGAGGAGAACGCTCATATTCACCGTCAGCGTCCCTGCGAACACAGCGTCAAACAGAGGTGAGAGGCGGTGGGGCCAGGCACAGGGAGG